TGACGGGGATTCGAACCCGAGACCCGCAAATTGCGAGTCGAGCGTCCTAACCACCTGCCCATGTTATATGTGAAAATTTAAACATAAAAACAATCATGCTATTTTTTATTAAATCAATGATCAAGTATAATAACCTACTAAAACATAAAAAAAAATGTAAGTATAAACTTGGAGAGCGCAACATTAAGTATAGACATAGATTTCAATTATTATACTAAAGAAAAAAAAGCATCTTTTCATTAAATAGGCTCCCAGTAGCACAGCGATATATCTGCGGACTTACAGTGCTATTATCCGGGTTTCGATACCCGTGGTGTGTAGAGCACAGATAGCCCATTGTGTAGCTTTGTGCTTAAATACAAATAAACAATAATTAAATATGCGATTTTTGCTCAGAAACTCAGTGGAGAAAATTTAAGTGAAAAAAAAAAACCTAAGTGATAAAAACTAGGTGAATTCTACATGTTTTCCTCATAAGCTCACTGGGGAGGAGAGGGGAAACGTACTCAAAAAAAGAAAGAAAAAACGCGACAAAAGTAATTCCATTACAATTGAATTTAACAACTCCGTTGTCTGTTTAATTTGGCCTCCGAATAGCGAACGATAACAAAGAAACTTAGTGCCCTCCTTGCGAGTGCCTTGTCACGCCCGTGTGATTGTTATCGTACTGAAGTAGGACTACAGTAGGATCACTTTCAATCCAATATACATATGTACAAGTATTTTCACCTCATATAAGACTGTAAGCGATAATGTAACGTTCTAACTATATCTGGTGGATATTAAGTATACTTTATTTACAATGATTTGCGATTACTTCCTGTTTGTTAATGACAACAAACACAATAATACATTGCGGTGATATGTAATAATTAAGCCTATTCTGATTAATTAACTTACTTTTTTGTATCTTCAGCTGTTCTGTTTTCACTAAACACAAACATGGCTTTGCCTATCTCTTCTTCTGTACCACCATTACTTTCTATAAATACAATTAATATATCTTAAAATCTATTTTAAGATATATATATATATATATAAGAAATAATACATTTATGCTGACAATCAATCGTGGTTGTCAAATAAATCATATACACTTCTGTGCTAAAAACAATCGAAATGTATTAAAAGCAACTTTTAAGATATTGTTACGTATCTGCACGTTTGTTAATTTCCGGTATAAATTCTTTCCGAGGAACTAAAACTAGTTTATTCTTTCTTGATACAACTTTTTAGTGCACAGAATTTCCACAGTCACTTTAAACTTAACAAACTTTATAAAACACGCTATAAATAACAGTGATTCACACACGTTACCTACGGTGCCTACTGTTCGCTTGACTCAATTATCTATCTCTTCAATCTATTTGCATATCTATCTATCGCTGGCTTTATTTGCCGGGCTTATATACTAAAAATGAGGGCGCCTGGCAAACACTCGGATATTCGCGGAGTTCCTCCATAAGTCACGATCCTTCTAGAAACTCCAGCGCGCATGCTCCCAGCGTCGCGTGACTTCCTCTATCGTAACAATATTTAACTGGTGATACTACTACAGAGATTGAGTACATTATATTAAAACGATTTTGAATATGCAAGTCAGCAAATCACGTAACAAACACAATCGATTTTAAGTTGCAGTAAAATGTAATGTGTCAGGAACTGCATTTTGACATTGGCGTTACGAAGGTAGTATGATGCTACCGAAAATTAATCGCTTTTGGGTCGGGTATATAACAGCCTTTTTTATGCAAAATATTCATAAACTAAGATCACAAAGATCTGTTCAGATCAGGCTTTCAGAATTTCCAAAACATGGATATCCCTTGTACCTAATATAATTGGAATCAAAGAATGAAATGTGCGTAGAATTGGGGCACCAGGACCATCCAGAAAGATGCCTGTAATAAGTTGTACCGGAAGCGTTAATAATCAAGTGGGGAATCTTGTAACAGGTGAGAAAGAATCTGTGAATAAAAAAAGACGGTGCCAAAAGCTGTCCACTAGTCCAGGCAACAGTACGCAACATAATTAAAAAGGATCTTTATCTGGAAAAGTAAAAGAAGTAACGTGTACATAAGTTGCTTCCACTATACATATGTTCAGCCATCGTATACCTCAAGCAGCAGGAGAATGAAACAGGTGTTCATACTTTTCTATATAAAGGCGTTGGACACAATGTCTATAGATTTCTGTGCGATCAGGCGGTTAAAAAATACGCTGGAAAAACTGTTATCCTTATTTGATAGATGGATTATAGAAAGCCCTCAGATAAGTAGAGTGTATTTTGAACATGGCAGCCTTTCAACGTAGCCTTTTGTGGTGGAAACTGCGATGCAGGGCTGTTGTCAAGTTGCACAGTCGTCAGATAGAGTACGACTAGACGTGGCAACACGGCATGTAAAAACGTGGTGATGTTCCAAAATCAGATTGATATAACCTCTAAATCTTCTGTTTACATTAACACGTTTGTATTTTACTAGGATACTTAATTCTTTAATAAAAGTATTAATATTGAAGTGTAAAATTTATATTGTATGTGCATTATAATCCTCCTCTATACTTATTATCAATAATAATAAGTGTTAATGAATAACATGTATAAAATATAAATAAAGGGAAAATATTATTTAGGCTTGGCATGGCCTGGTGGTTAGGACACTTGATTCTAAATCTGCGCATTGCTTGTTCAAATACCGTCACCGAACATACCCTCTGATAACACGTATTGCAAGTGTGTCAGTAGTATACAAATATCCTGCTATGTTCATTACGATCCGACATAGGGTTATATTCTGCAGTGGATGAATGTTTTTTTTTAATAAAGCTATTATTTTATCACCTATTGTTATATATGCAGGTATCTATTTGTGTCTATTTCATTTTTGGTTAGTGCTAGATATCTGCAAAAAGCTACTCAAGGGCTATCTGTGCTAGCTGTCCCTAATTTTGAAATTACAGTCTACAGGGAATGTAGCTAGTGAACAACACTCACTGCCAACTCTTGGGCTACTCTAATCGAATAGTCAAATTTGCTCGTCACTCTTATAACGTATTAACAGAACCAATTTTTTTCAGCGACAGTCCGGCAGGCTAACCTATAGGGAAATGTAAATATCTCAAACTTATGATTACTATATAGCAGTTAAAACATGATAAGTTTCTTCAGGTAGCTTATTTCAAAAATACACAAACAAGAGAACAAAGCAGAAGTGAAAGTCGCAGGGGAGTATTGAAAAATTATGCTTTCACAGCTGTCCCGGCTCCAGGTTCTCTCTCTTGGGGGCCCGGCATGGCCAGGTGGTTAGGGTGCTCGACTCGCAATCTGCGGGTTCGAATCCCCGTCCCACCAAACATGCTCGCCCTTTCAGCCGTGGGGGCGTTATAATGTGACGGTCAATCCCACTATTCGTTGGTAAAAGAATAGCCCAAGAGTTGGCGGTGGGTGGTGATGACTAGCTGCCTTCCCTCTAGTCTTACACTGCTAAATTAGGGACGGCTAGCGCAGATAGCCCTCGTGTAGCTTTGCGCGAAATCCATAACAAACAAACAAACTCCATACAGCGATACGATTTTTTAAACTGCTAAGAAGAATGAATTTAGATAAGCCAGATTAAAATTTGTGGTGCAAAGCTTACTCCAGCATATCTAGTCATTTCTCAATGTGTTTAAGAATGAGTGTTGTCCTAATTTGAACTCAGTAACTCCTCCTTGTCAGGAGGCGGGCTAGAAATATTTGATTTTGCTTTCTGATTTTACATACTATTATAATTATTGTTCAAAGCGTCGGATAAATATTTTGTTTTCTATCCCTATCAGTTTTATCTAGTTTGTTTATTACAGTTCACTTTTGTCGACTAAAATTAACCTTACAAAACGAGCTGCTCAAACGTTTTCATAATCATATAGATTAATATCAGAAAACCACTTTCATGACAAGAATTATATTTATAGAAAATAAACAATTCATGACGATGGAAACAGCCATTATTGAAATATAAAAAGTTAAAAAGGGGCATTTATGATGAGATAAAATAGCATCCAAATGTGTTACCACATTACAAAGTTTCGATATTTTATTCCCAATCACACAATACAGTAAGCTGGTGAGCTTACATCATTAACATCAAATCACAAAACATCCGTAGAAGCAAGTAGACTCTATTACAATCAAGTTTACAAACAAATCCTTTTAAAACTACTATAGTCATTATATCAAACTTCTCTTGTGTGTTATCAGAGGAATAGTTGCAGCATAGATTATGACAGTAATGACTGTTGACATTGTAAAGGTCTTAGCAAGTGCAAAACTCCAATAGCATTAAAATCAAATACCACTAATAAGTCATACGCTAGCGAAAGGGGTGAATGGAAACTTGTCCCTCCCATTTTTTTAAAATAATGCCTCAAATTCATAGATCAGTATTCATACTACTACTTGTAGCATCCATCATATGTTATTATTTCCACAATATGTGGTGTGTGTCACACTTACACAATGAAATACGTTGAGTGTTACTCATTATGTAACAACTGTATTTGATAAATCGAGCTGCCCAGTCCTGATATATCCTGTGTCTTCAACTTTTTGGTATTTTTAGGACGAGCTAGTGGACAACATCCCCCCCCCCACATAAATCTGCTATTCTTAAAGCAACTGTACACAAACAGACCTAACAGCATACTTGAATTATAATGTGATGATCACAAAAGAACAGAAACGAGATGGAACAAATATATCATGCTTTAAGGGCACTTGTGGAGAAGTAGGAGAGGCATTTGTATCATCCCC